CGTCCAGACGACTAACATTTCAGTCGTCCAGACGACTGAAAAGTAACTCAGCCCGACTCAGACAACTTACTGGGGTTATATTCGTAAAAATGTCTTCTGTTTTTTTGTTTGGTCACAGAGGACTATATTGTAATTTCATAGCCCTTTTAGGTTAGATTTGCATTTGATTCAAGTTGGGGTCTAGTATTGGGGTTAAAACTAAGTTGTGGGTTAGTTTTGGCAAAAACCCCGCAAATCAAATACTAAAATACAATATCCGAAAATGAAGAAAATCAGAAATACCAATATTTTTGTGAACATATATCCAATTTTTTTGTTATATGCATATATATACATATATGTAAGGAAATATATATATATATATATATATATATATATATATATATATATATATATATATATATATATATATATATATATATATATATATGTGTGTGTGTTATATATTATATTTATATAAGTTTTACAATATTTCTATGTATTAAATTTATTATAATAGGTATTAAAATTTAAAAAATTAATAATGTTTATTTTTTAATAAAATATTATTAGTAAATTCTTTTATTTCTTTAAAATGATTATTTTATTTAGGGATCAACTAGGATATTCTTTAAAATTCTAAAAAAAATTCGGATTTCCGAATCATAGAGTATCCAGGTGGCTAAATATCTAATTGACACCAATGCCTCCAAATACTCTGATGTTCGATCCCTGTCCACCCTTATTTACGGATACAATTTTATTTTCTTTATATGAAAAAAATCACTAATGTCTAGGTCTATTTTATTCTTAATTAATTTTATTTTAATTTTTTATCTTTCAAGTGTTATTTTGAAAAATGTTATTTAATATTAATTGATAGTATCTTTATATATTTATCAACCATTTTTATATACTTTTACATACATATATATGTGCACCTTGATGTGAACACTTTATAACTGAGTATTCACCGCAACTGAAGTATCTAATTTTTTTGAAGTTGAAATATTGTTTTTCTTAATGCTTCTTTTACTACCGACCAAATTGTAGTGAAAAGATTTGTCTTAATAATTTTCGTTATTTTCTTTTTATTATTATTCGTTTAGAAAATATAATATGAAACCATTAGTTCATCACGACTATCTAAAATTCATAACATGAAAACAAACAAATTTAAATATAACAATAACTAAAAATAATAGTAGTTGCAAAAAAATAAGTTAAATTTTTTTTTGAATACTATTATCAAAATACTAAAGCCAAAACCCTAAATCCTAAACTTTAAAACTTTTCTGTAAACCCTAAACCCTTGGATAAATCCTGGACTTTTAACAAAATATTTTTAATACCGTCAGCAAAACACTAAACCCTAAATCCTAAACTTCTGGCTAAACTCTAAACCCTTGGATTAATCATAAATCCTAGGGTTTGAGATTAATCCAAGGGTTGAGAATAATTACCCAAAAATTTATAATATAAAGTTTAGTGTTTTGTTGACGGTATTAAAAATATATTATTTTAAAAAGTTTTTTGTTTGGAACTACTATTATTATTTTTTTATCTTTTAATTTTAAAAACATAATAGAACTCAGAAAATATTTTTTACTTTTCTAAAAAATAATGAATATAAAATAATGACATTCTATTGGCTGGTCAACTATAGGGTAACCCAAGAATTTCTTTTAGTCGGCTCCTACCGAACCCTACAAGCTGGTCCCATAAAACGACAAGACATAGAGAGATCCTACTCATAGTGATAATGATCATTTCCACCAATAATATGGACCCAGACACCGTATCGTATCAAGAAAAGATAGAAACAGATCATTATTGAGGAAAATTAAGGGGTCGACGATCTAATTTCCCACGAAAAATATCATACAGCACCGAATGTCCACGGAACTATGACCCCGTTCTATTTATCCCTGAGAATAAAGTTTGGAACCTATTTCCCCACCAAATTAAAGTTATATTGATATTTCTCCATAGTTATAAAGATCGAAATTTAAAAACCCACAAAATCGATTTTTATTGGTTTATTGTTTGTAATCAAACCGTAAACCATGTTAAGTCAATGATTAATCAGATTAAGATCCAATCAGTTGGATCTTTTCAAGTTCAGATGTTGGGGCGGATTACTATTATGATCCATTGGTCGTTTTTTTTTTATATTTTCTTGGTTTAGTTTTTCTCTTTTTATTAAACGAGAGTGAAGATTTGAAATTCGGTTTTCAGAAATTATAACTAATTTGATGGGAAAATAGTTTTCGAACTTTATTCTCAGGGGTAAATAGAATGAGGTCATACTTTCGTGGACATTTGGTGCTATACGATACTTCTCGTGTGGAAATAGATCGTCGACCCAAAATTAAGCGACTATATTGTGAAATTATGCAAAACGTGCTTGTCATTAATTTGTAGAATGTTTGTATATGTAAATGTAATACAAGTAAATGATATATTATGTAGAGCAGGGACAAGAAACAAGAGAAGATGTTGGTACTTCCATAGGTTTATTAGTGCTCCAGAATATAGATAAGACAACTCTTCAACGAGGATCTAGATCTGAAATGGTCACATCATTGATAGAACCAGGAATAAATCTGCTTATAGACTGGGTAGACTCCAAACCGTTAGAGAACAAATAAGTGCTGCTTGAAAGGCAAGTTCCAGGCGCTCGAGGAACATGTAAAGTGGCTGTGCTACTAGTGAGCATCAGGATGATTGCGGGCAACGTGGGACGATCTGTAGGATCTTCTTGAACACATAATAGTGCAATATGTATACATCTAATAGCCTCATTACTCTGATAACTCTCTACTATGGTAGGATCCACGAGTTCCAGAGGTGATCCGTTTTTCCAGAGTCTCCAAGCCTAACACGAGAGATGAACAAAATTCACAAGTTTTGTCTTAATTACACACACACACATATGTAACATGAAAGATCATATACTCACATGTGTGACCAAATTGCTAGCAGCTTCATCAATATGGTAAAGGCTACTGCTTTTTTTGCCACTTATAATCTCCAGAACCAATACTCCAAAGCTAAAGACATCAGACTTCATGGAGAAGTGGCCATGCATTGCATATTCTGGAGACATATAACCACTGTAACACAAGGAAACATTTTAATCCTACAAATAATAGCCAAACAAAATTTGTAAGTTAATTTAATATATAAAATTTTACTATGTTCCAACGATTCTGTTTGTGTTGGCTTGAGATTGATCAACCCCAAAAATCCTCGCCATGCCAAAATCTGCTATCTTAGGGTTCATATATGCATCTAAAAGAATGTTACTCGCTTTGAGATCACGATGTATGATTGTAAGTCGTGAATCATGATGAAGATATAGAAGTCCTCGTGCAGTCCCACCAATAATTTTGTACCGTCTTGTCCAGTCCAGTTCGCCTTGCCTTTTAGTATCTGCATACAAACTGTGAATCATTAGCTACAATAATGACTAATTGAATTATAAGTATTTCATTGATCATATCATGATCATACCGAAGAGGAAGTAGTCCAGGCTTTTGTTGGGTACAAACTCATAGACAAGTATTTTTTCTTCTCCTTCCAAACAAAATCCAAGAGTTCTCACCAGATTTTTATGCTGAAGCTTTGTCACAAGAACGGCCTCGTTCTTAAACTCTTGCGCTCCTTGTCCTGATGTTTTTGAAAGCCTCTTCACTGCTACTTCAGTTCCATCTGAAAGCATTCCCTATATAGATAAGATAAACCAAATATCGATCATATAAACTCATATTTGTACAGAAAATTAAAAACCAGGTAGAAAGAATTTAAGACTACCCTGTAAACTTCACCAAATCCACCCCGGCCTATCATGTTGCTGTCCGAGAACTTATCTGTGGCCGCTTCAATTATCTTAAAACTGAATTGCAGTGAGTGTGTTGTTGTGATCTCGTCACCACCTGCAGCAAAAAAATGAATATCTAACATTTTATTATGCAGAATTTCTACGCAATAAAAAAAAAAAAATTGTATGCAATATTACTTCTGGTAGTTTCATAAGACAATGAAAACAAAACTTTAACAGGAACAAACCTTGAAATTTAATGTTTTGGTATTTTTCTTTTATCTTGCAAACCAAAAGTCCTACAACGAGGAGTATTAAGATAACAAAGATAGGGACAACAATTGCCACGATAGCCACAGATGAAATTGTTTTTGTATCTGCACAAGGCGACAAATCATCAACAATCATGGCTAGTGAGTGATTATATCAATTTTCAATAGATTCTTTTTACAAATCAAATGTAGGAATATACCTTCTGTGGTGGTATTTGCTTGGTCTCTTTCTGGCAATGTAATATTATCAAAAGCTTCAGCAAAAGGATACAAATTCCACCGGATAAAGCAAAACGGCCTTACATACGCACCACCTATGTGACCGCGACAACATGAGTTATAAGCCTTAACTGTTTCTTTCAGACAATACTCACAATCCCCTGAAGAAACATCCGGTGTACATTGCATCATCGAGTATATAGTTTGGAAAGATGTTAATGTAGAAATCTCAGCTGCATAGTACTTATGTCCAAATGATCCACGACTTCCCGATGAAGCTGCAGTGATCGTGCGGAGCATTAACTCTTCCCATACTCTATCAAACACTGTCAAATTAACGCCGATATCTTTATGATCGGACACAGGTTGAGACGGCTCCATCACGAGTGATCCTGAGAATGAAATGTTGGAATAGCGAACCATACAAACATCTGGCCATGCATAGCCAACAGTTTGGTTAGGACAGGCCCGTAACAAGCCGTCTGATGTGCTTTTGATGCAATTTGAACAGTGCTCCTGTTCAGTACCAGGTATGCACATACCGATGATGAAGATTCGGTCTTGATTTTGGCCGACTGTGGTGCTGTATAATCCGTTGTGAGTTGTGACATTAGAAGCAAGAGATGAGAAAATTTGACGACGGCTCAAGTCGTAAGTGGAGTTGAGTTTAAAGTAACCATTAGAGCAATTCTGTGAAGATACAGAATGTAAAGTTAAGAGGGAAAACCAGAAGACTGGTAAAACTGAAGAGCTAAGCTTCATTCTCATGAGATTAGAACCAAAGTCTTTGTGGGTAACGGGTTAGATTGATCGAATTAGAAAGCCATCCTTAGAGGTTTATATTGCTCCATTCAGCAAGGAATATGAATAACTCCAAAAATTTATTTTCCATTCGTCAAACAATTTGAATAGTCTCCAAAGACTTATGCTCCAGCTCCATTCATCAAAAAGTTTGAAAAAATAAACGGTTGAATTTGGAAAAAAAATAGGGAAATTTGTCAAAAGAGGACTAAAAAACACAACTATTGTCCCATTAGAATAAATTTCATGATTCATGTCCCCTAAGAATAAACTATAATGAAAATCCAATTTAGTCCTTAGTATTTAAATTTTTAAAATTTTCAGAAAGCCGATATATATTTATAGTATGAGAGAATTAACAATGAATGACAATGACTCTGCTGGTAAACTACCTCAAGTTACTCCCTCTAAACCTGGGTTCGAGCCTCCGGGTATGCAAGTACTTTTTTTTTTTAATTCGAAGCTCTGGATATTGATTACCAGTTTACAAAAACTATTCAAGGTTTTTATAGGGATTTTGTACGAAAATTGACAAGGCAAATCATAGGGTTCATCAATCGTTGACAGTGTAACTTGAATCAGAGAGCAATACAATATCATTTAGGTTTGAAACAGTGACAAAAAACCATACCCTAAACTCCTATCTCTTATTTGAATC